AACAGTAATAAAAAGTAAATAAAGTTTACCAGAGATGAGATGGGAATAAGGGCGGGCTTTTTAAGCAAGAGCGAAACCATCATATGAATGGAGGGGGCCAAATTTATAAAAATAATATTTTTTTATTTATATCTTTTAATTTTTTTAAAGATAATCTTATTAACTGGAGAAGTCATAAGATAATTATAAATAAGTATAAGCAAATTAAAATTTAAAATAGTTAAAGTAAAATCATGTGTTTAAATATTAATAACTAATAATATATGCAATTTAAATAATGAAAATAAATAAATATTTTTTTAAAAATTTATTTGTATTCTCTAACTCCAATTCATAATATAGGGTATCAATAACTATTTCACGATTTATAAGAGATGTTAGTGGAAGACAGTGGTTTAAAAATTTATATATCTTTTTGGAAAAACATAATCATTGATACTTATAATTTTATTAGATTTTACTTTTAATTCATGTAGATTTTTCTAGTATTTTTAGTTCTTATAGGGATTAAAAACGCTCAAAACACTAAAACTATAGCTTATAGGTACCTGAGGTACAAACATAATACAATCTTACCAAAATTATAGAGACTAATAATATTTAAAAAAAATATAAGGACTAAAAATAAAATTTGATGAAACTATAGGAATCGATGATTGTATTTTCCCTATCTTTTTGATTGTGTCCTCGTTAAATGTCTTATATAAATACCTTAATAATAATAATAATTAAAATTCTAAATAATAAATAAAGAAAGTGTATAGTCAAAAAAATTATTAAAGTTACCTAATATCTTATATTTTTAACCAAGTAAAACTTTTAAAAATGTTTTATAAATGAAAGAATATCTAATTAATGTGCTAACAAAATAAGATATATAGATGTATTTATGCATGCATATGTGTATGTGCATGGTTGTATGGAGTTTCTTTTATTAGGAGGGGGGGGGGGACTCTATAGCCATGATAATCTACTCCCTTGTGCATAATAAATTGGAAGAAGTTGGGGGGCCCTCAAGTTATATGTGGATTCGCCCTTGACCTTAAGGGCTCACACCTTAAAGCTGATTATTTATAATTTAACTTAATTCTAAAGCCTGGCCTTTAAGCCCTCTTTCTCCAAAAAAAAAATAATATTTTAATTTAAGCAGAATATTCTAAAATTTAATATAAAAATAAATCAAAGTCTCATATGAAATTCAACAAAAATTTAAAATTCTAAATTTAAGATGAAAATTAAAATCTTCATCAATATAAATCTAAATCCTCCTCCTTATCATCTAAAAATAAAATATTAAATCTCTCAAATGTAAGTCTACTTGTTGAAGATGAAGGTGGAGATTTAATGTCAATTATCTCAGCAACTTCATCATCATCACCTATACTAAATATTAACCAAATTTTATTATTATTAATGAAATGTTTGTATGTAGATATGTATATATGTATGTATGTATTAGAAGACAAAATATAAAAATTAACACAAAACGACAAAAAACCATTTAACCAATTGTCGGTATAAATTAATGCTTGTACATTATCTGAAAGGAGATGAGGATGATACTTTGTTAAAACATGAGAGCCCAACTGGAAATGGTGGTTCAAACATTTTCCAGCAGTAATGACAACAATTCAAACATTTCTTGGGGAGGCCATCAATCTCTAGATCTTTTGCAATATACTTCAACGAGCAAGGGAAGCAATGATGGGTTCTTCAATCAAGCAGTGTCGTGAAGAACGGGGATACATTATTGGCACTGTCATCGCCATAACTCCTAGTCTTGATCACCCCAACTCGATGAAAGCCGTATGCTTGCAAATTACTCGACCACCGCTACAAAACAATATGGGTGCTTTTTGACTCCACCATCGTTTTGTGTTTAGGGACCAATACCTAAATCGCACTAGATTGTGAATAGATTTTAGGACCTAATGCTTGCTAGTGCTTCTATTTTTGTCAAAATCGATGGTATAATGGAACCAATATTTGCATAATTGCATATTTGAGTTGTAGATCTCTTCATCTTCAATGTTGTGGTTATGCGTTTGAACATATTCCATTATTTTCCGATCTAATTTTATGAAACTGATCTTATTTTATGTTTGAATTCTATGCTGATTGAATATTGTAATTATCTTCCTCAGTTTTTCTTCTTGGACAATGGACTTTTTTTGTTCTCCAATAGTGATTTTTTTCAGGGCAGTCTTCATGCACTGGTTCTTCTAAGGGGCTTTTTCAGCGATATTTTTCTCTTTTTAAAATATGAATATAATATTAAATAAAATTTTTATCTCATTTTTATCTATGTAGCAAACATACTTTTATACTTCACTTCCACTTCTCTCAAAAATACTTCTCTGTACCATTAAGGATTCAAAACCTTTAGGACATACGCTTGGCCTTTCGGAGGTTGATCGCCAACATCGTCGTCTTCTCTGATTTTCCGGGCAATTGCTTCGCCTTTAACGTGTATACTAACTCATTATTAATATATATCTGCCTTAGCTTCCATATACTCACCTCTATACACCACTAGGCTATGTTCATTGCATATATAACTAAGTGGATCCGTGAAGCTTCATGGGACTCGTTTTCAATTACAGCATACAAATATCTCCAAAAGAGGGACACATCAGCATGTGTCATGTTTGCTAGAATCGGTCCACCGTGTTATGCCATGCGTTCATTCTAGTTGATACGTAAAGGCCCTTACTTTGTTCTCCCTCCCTACCTCCCAAATTATAATTGATTCATTTATTAGCCAATATTACTTTCTCCGATTCTATTTATAAATCACTTTTAATTTTATTCCTATTAAATACATATATTTTAATTTAATAATATAATTTCTTTCATCAACATTTACTTAAGGTAAAAAGAAAAATTTTTGATAATAACTTAATGACATGATTTATAAATAAAATCATAGGAAAAAGATTATTAAGTTAATAACTTAATAACTTATTAACATTTAAAAATTTAGCTAAGTATTGGAAAAAGATTATTATTATTATTATTATTATTATTATTATTATTATTATTATTATTATTATTATTTGGAAAAATGCTAAGAATATAATTGATACCTGCACACTTCCATGAATGGGGGTCTCCATCAGAGGGTAATATTGCATGTGCTAAGGAGCGAGTGATGGTTTCGGACGTTTCGATGGATACAATAAGAGGGCATCGATTGGTCAATTTATGTTAGTCCGGCTTGGGAATTTAATTCAGAGTTTTCCGTCCAAATAAATAGGTCCCATTCCGCTCTTTTAAAAAGGTGAGGCCACCCACCCCCCCCCCCCTTTTTTTTTAAAGTAAGGCACAAAAGTAGAAATTCCAAAAACAAATGTTTCTAATAAATGTTTCATCTGTGGTCGTTATATTTTTAAAATCTCAAATTATTATCAATGAAGTTTGTTAATTAGGGAATAATATCACAGCAGGAACTTTAATAAATAAATGTTTTAGAAAAATGTATATTAAGAATTATATATGGAGAGTGTCTTTTTACATGAAATTGGTGTTTGTATGTAGAGAAGAGAAAAATGTGGAGATCAGTCAAGCAGTGGGATCACTGAGCATCGTTAATGGAAGATTGAGTGACCAATTGCGTTGCCTCAAAAAATGTTCCATCATTTGTGGATTTTGATTCATAATGACACCAATTTGCCTTAAGTGAGAGTTACCGCCCCATTTGGCTTAGCTTTCTCTGATACCAGATTTTGACAATATATGCACAACATAAAATACTTCCTCACAATTTTCATTTTCAACTCAATTCACAAAAAGATATATTTCGTATTCTCATGATATTTGTACTCCAGTTGATTTTAAATAAGATATTAATGTCATTACTAAGATAATAGTTTTCTACTTCTATGTATGAATAGGCATAAATTATCATGACATACCTTTCCATAGCATATTAACCTAATAAAATGAAACCTTAAAATAATTAAAGGCAACATATTGCTTGCAATCCGCTGCAAGTTTCAGGGATATTTATCTTTATTAAAATTAAAGAATATTATGCATTAATATGAATTAGGTGCGTGAAAGTTGAGTCCTAGTATTCACTCCCTTTGAACTATAATATATGATATTGTCTACATATCCAACTATATCTTAATCTTAACTTCATTTATTATCTTTTTAAAAATATGTATTATTATGATATTTATATAAGATATTTAATAAGAATGAGTTGAAAAGATATCATCTTTTTAAAAAATCATGATCTCATTTATTTATTTTTTTTTGGAAAACCGGGAAATAGTTACCATCACTAGTGCAAAATATGAGTTTAAAAGACTATTTTTAATATCAATTCACAAGTAAATGATGTTAAAAGTGAACTGGTGTCATTTATGTTATTAAATGAGTGTTTGCTTGACTTTCAATATCAAGTTCAAAGGGAATTGATGTTGTTTCATACTCTTAACATTGGGGTTTACATACAACTAATGTTGATAAGTATTTTTATTAAAATTTATTTTTTAAATATAGTTACCATTTGCAATAGGGGTCTTGCACTTGATGTTAAAAGCTTTTTTTTTTTTTAAATTTTTTTAAAAACGGCTATTCAACATCAGGTGGACTGTCCACTTGATGTTAAAAGTAATTTTTTTAATTTTTAAAAAATTTTTAAAATTGAGTGGATAGTCCACCCTCCATCCAACGTTAAAAGGTTTTAAAATTTATTTAAAAAAATTAAATATCACTTTTAACATTGGGTGGACAGTCCACCCAATGTTAAAAGTGATATTTAATTTTTTTAAAAAAAATTTGGTACCCAATGTTAAAAGTAATTTCAAATTTGTAAACTCCTTTTGTCTTCCACATTTTAGAATTGGCCTTGTGATTGTTTCTCTTTTTCCTCCTCCATTGTGTCCTCCTCCCCTCACCTTCCCTTCCTTTTTTGTCATGTCCCCCTCCCCCTCCTTCCCCCTCTTCCTCAGTGCCCCCTTCCCCCTCCCCCCCTCCCTCCTTCTCCTCCTCCTCCTCCTCCCCTCCCCTCTCGGCCACAGTCGTGGGTTCTTCCATAGGTATGTCTTTTCTTTTTATTTTAAATCTATTTATAATTAATATAGTTTAGTTTATTTTAATTTTTAATGAATATTTTAGTTAGTTAATTTTAATTAGTTATTATATAATTGTTCGTTGAGGAGTACTACATGTGATCAAATTGTTATCGTAGTTGACATTATTTATGTGTAAAATTGAGTGTTTTTTGTATTTAAAATGTTTTGAAAGTTTAATTTTTATGGGAAACTGTTAAAATTTTTTCAGCTTCATTCTTTTCCCTAAATTTCTTCAATTTTAATTGTTATTAATATTGATTGTTGCTAAGAGTGCTGTTAATAGTGGCTTTATAAGACCTTAAGTTATTGCATGTGATTATTTATTTAAATAAAATTATGAATTTTGTCTTGTAAATTTTTTAAAGGTCTTGGAATGTCCTATTTGCAGGGAAGACCCTACTGAAATTTTTTTAACTTTATTCTTTTTCCCTAAATCACTTAAAATCTTAGGTTAGTTAGGAATTTATATTTTTGAAATGATTTGAAGGTAATAACATGCAACAAGAAGTGATCACTAAGAAGGGATATGGGAGAATATCCCTATATGAAATTAATTTTGAAATAAATATTAGTTTTTTAATTTTTTAGAAGTGATTGTTTGAATTATATTTTATTTATAATTCTTTGTATTTTATTTATTTGTGTATTGTTTGAATTTATTTTATTTATAATTCTTTCTGTTTATTACTAAGCTGAAGAATACATCATAATACGAAGAAATAGACAATCCAATAATGATTTAATTATATAATAACATCAAATAATATCTCTTAATAAGACTGATATGTATACATAATAATAAATAAATATTTGGAGAATGTTCTAGATAAGAAGTTTTGTCAAAGACTCATTCCACAAGCTTTTTATTTATTTATTTATTTTTTGAAAAAGAATCCCTAGCTTCCTCGAAACTAGCCGGATTATTTTGTATTATTTATACAAGACAGAAATCCAAGACATTACTCTGCAAAAATGGAACAAGTAATGCTCTTGGGATTGTGGACCTGTCCTTATATCATGAGAGTGAATTAAATTCAGTACAAAGAAGAAGATGTATTCGAGAATCAAAACAAGAGCGACTTGCTTCTCAGATCAAACCCATTCACAAGAAAGTTCCAGTATCATTCAAAACGGAAAGCCCATCTGCGAATGCCTTGTCATCCTTCAATATATTGATGAGGTTGGAAGCACAGATACCTGCCTTCTCTTTGATGATGCTCACAACCGAGCCAAATTAAAGCAAGATTCTGGATTGATTTCTTTGACAAAAAGGTCAGCTTCCTCTCTGGGATCCATCAGGATGACTTCAATATTCTGCTATATGATATAAATGTGTGATAGCTGATTGTGGTAGGAAGATGTGGGCTAGCAAGGGAGAAGAGCAAGAGGGTGGAAAGGAGGATTTCACAGAGTGCGTGAGACTTTTAGAAAATGAACTTGGAGACAACATTTATTTTCACTACTACAGAAAAAGGCTTTGGCAAGTTTGAAATTTTAGTTATGTAACATTTATAAAATATTATAAAATTCAATGCTATTAGAGGTTTCAAGTGACATTTTATCAATTAATGAAATGTCACAATATTAAAACGATAGCTTTTCGTTTGACAAATGCCACTTTTTTGAAGTTATATTTTTTTAAAAAGTAAGAGAGGTGGTGTTTCTAACCAATGAAGTGCTACTTCAATTTTTTTTTTAAAAAAATTAATGTCAAAAGAGGTGGCATTTCATTAGTTTGGAAACGCCACCTCTTAATTTTTTTTTTCAATTTATAACACATAGGTGGTGTTTTTGGGAAGCAGAAACATCACCTATTTAATTTTTTTTTTTTAGAGAGGTGGCTTTTCTTTAGAGAAGTAATGTCACCTATGTAGTTTTTTTTAAAAAATTTTAAAATACAATTAGGTGGTGTTTGTTCATTGAAATTTTGAAAAATTATTTAAAAAAAATACATTAGGTAGCATTTGTTCATTGCATAGATGCCACCTAATGTATTTTTTTAGAATAATTTTTCAAAATTTTGTATACCCAAAATTTTCACTTTTACAAAAGATCCAGCAATAAACATGAACCAATCCAGCAGTTTATAAACAATAAAAATTTACACCATTTCTTAGCATACAACAAACTATTCAGTTTATAAGTACATTAATATATCTAAGTTCTCCAAATAAGTGAAGACATGTAATGAAAAATTTCAACAATTTTCAATTTACATAATTATTTATCAATTACCCTTTGGCCAAGAAATCCAAAAATGAAAAACCATTCTTCAATTAGATCATAAATTTGTTCGTCATTATATTCCAAGCATTTTGTATCTTGATAGTACTACAAAATATATTAAAACAGGAGGTCATTTATAAACATCTAAACATAATCAAACCCAAATTAAATTAAATTTTCATACCTCAAATGAAACAAAAGATTGACCATGAGTGATCATTTCCTTTATAAATTTCATAATATAGTACCCAAAATTGTTGTCATTTGGTTGGAAAGGGCACTAAAAAAATAACCAAAAGGTAATGTAAATTTATGAATGAAATAAATTTATTTTCAATAATTTGATAAATTCTTTTAAGTATAAATATACCATAATTTTTGTTCATTGATAATTTTTAGAAAAGTCTTTATTTCTAGAAAAGGATAGTTCTTTGTGACCTCAAAAACTATTCAATACCTTACCAAAACAAAGAAAAATTAATCAATAATAATTTACACGCGCGCACACACACGTAAAATAATTCTTTTAAATATAAATACTTACTTATTAAATAACCTCAATATATTAGACTGATCTGTTGGCATACCTCTAAATAGATGATCTAGATAATAAATTAAAGGCAAAAGAACAGCCACAAGATTGATAATAGTCAAAATCTAATGTTTTCTGAAAAATTTAAACTTTGGTTATGTCTTGATAATATTGAGATATCTAGTACATAAAAAAAGAAATAACTAAAAAAATAATTTTCTCGTATTGTAAGGTATTAAGAATAACATATTTTGTCCAACTTTTGATTTTTCTATGAACATTTCTTTTGCAAGATTTACTTGTTCAAATGAACTCAATGTCGACCCATGACTAATATCATGAGAACTAATAAATGCAAATATATTCTTTTTCTCCTTGTCTTTCAAAAAAAGAGATATACAAATACCTTAATAAACTACAGAAAATTGTGTGAAAACCAATCACAATAGGTGATAAAAATAATTAATATCAAAGAATGTTATGAAACATGTACCTTATCTAAGTGTTCATAACACCAAGCACTCGCCCATTCTTAATTAAGTATTTCCATGATGGTATTTTTATCAAGATATTCTTAACTATCTTTACAATATATTTTTTCTTCAAATTTTATTTTAATTGTTTGGCCATTAGTAGTAAGCTTTGGCAAAAGAGTTTGAAGGGCTTCACAACAATTATTGGCCTTTCTCATTTTTTAAGCTCCATGAGATACACTTTTTTGCTTATGCATAGTATTAGAATTCTTGAAGATATTACCATGCACTTTAATTATTCTCTTATTCTTTAATTTTTATTGAGTCTGTAAAAATCAAATAATTAAGTCATGTAATTATAATTACATCTAGCAAATTATAAGTGTGAATTATATAATTACTTTGTCAAATAACTCAATGAGATATAAAGGCCACACAACAAAAGTCACATCTACATCTTTAACCAATACAATATTCTCATTAAGAGGTATTGGTAACTTGGCATCACAACATTAGTGCAGATGTCCACAGATACTTGCAATATGCCAAGGTGTAACAAAATCATATGTAAATTATCTTCAACAAAATTGTAAACAGTACTCACAGCAACTGCATTTTTAAAGGAAATTTCTGTGTATAATTTACATTTTGATTCTCCCTAGGAACAAATAAAATATTTAGCAATTTATATTATAAACATGATAATAACCTTAAAAGTTATCTATAAAAAAAATACCACAGGGAGAGCAAGATGGTTTGACACAGAAGTGCAGTTATCTCTCAAACTAGGGCTTTCACATATCGGAACTCTCACTAGGCCCTGGTGGATTATAGCATTCATTTGTTCAAATAATTTCTTATTTTGTTCTTATAATTGATGATATTGTTCTTCATAATGCTATTCACACAAATACTATTCTAGCATTTGTTGTCGAAATGCATTTATTTTCTCTTTTAACTCAGCAATAACGCTCTTGTTTAAGCATCTTCAACCCCCAAAATAAGTGGTTTGGGTAATACTAAAACCAACCCTTCTGACACAACCAGGGACTTCTAGAACGTTTAATACTTTGTTAAGGATGTCTTCACGATTAAATTATTGTGCTTCTTTTGGCCTTTCTTGTGACAAAGTTTGCTGTTATATAATGATCATAACATATTATATATAAAATTAAATCATCTAAATAAAATTTTAAACATGAATTAAGTACTAATATGTACACAAGTCTGCTAAACTTGCCTTACACCATCATCTTCAATTTTACCTTTTGAATTTAGTTGTCCTTCAACTCATACTTCATGTCATGTAAGTTGTTCACAATTTAAATTGTCTTTTTTGATAAACATATTGAAATAATTAATTGAATTCATAAATCACTCCAACATATGCAATAGATGCATGTAATAATTATTAAATATAAGGTATGTATTTTATCTTGTTCAATGAATATGTATCCTTTTTGACCTTTTTGAAGCGATATTTTTGGCTTTCCGTTAGTTGACAATAGCACTTGCTTTTCACCTGTTCAAATGCAAATTGAATTCATATTAATTTTATTTGAGTAAAATTAGATTTAATTCATAAAATTTGAAATTATTTATCTTAAATTCTTTTATTGTTGCGCAAGAACACATTCATCCCAATCTTCTTGAGATATGATCCCATCATAAACGTCAGGTAGGTGTTCAATGATGTATTAATTTTATCTATTAAATACCACATGCAAATATCTGCATGAAATTTTTTAAGAAGAACTACGACTTTGTTAAGGACATATGTTCTATGAGTCTCGTCAAGTTCAAAACAAGACTGTATGAAAGAAAGAAAAAAATTTAAATCATTATAAGCATAGGAAAAAATAATCAAAAAGATAAAATATTAATGACTTATTTTTTTTTACCTCAACTTGTTCCCATATGAATCTCTTGTATTCATTTGGAACTTTTCACCAATTTGTAAATGTAATAGGCACATGATCTTGAGTCACAACCCTAGTATAATTGATTAATTTTTCTTCATTTGGTTTTATTGGCTAACCCTTGATATTCCATCCAATTCGTGGTTTTATTTCCATGCTTCTATTTCTAATCAATTTGGCCATCACAATTTTACCATGATGAACATCTCAAAACATTTTTTCCTTTACTGGATGAAGACCATCATCATTTAAACTAGTATGAGGCTTATCATTGTTTGAACTCATTTTCTTGCAAGTTGAAATCAATACATCAACACATACATAATAAGAAAAATGAAAAAAACCAAGTAACATGAGAAATTAAATTACTTTTTTATTTTTTTTGTTTTGATTTAGAACTTCATAGGTCGACCTACATCCCATCTATATGATCATCTCTCATGTACAAGTGCTTCTCTTCAATTAAATCATTATCAAAAGATTGTATTGTCCCGTAAAAAAGATCATCTTCAATATTCACATCTTTATTACCTTGATCTTGATCATCATCTTCATGTATTTTGTTTGGTAAAAGTACAATAAACCAATTCTTTTTTACAGGATTAGGAATAAAGAATACTTGTTGAGCTTGCGAAGCTAAAATGAAAGGATCATCTCTATATCCAACTTTATATAAATTCACTTGAATAAATCCAAAATTATCAATCTGAAGTCTACTATAATTGTTAACCCACCTATATCTAAAGACAGGCACCCTAAACATAAAGTAATCTAACTCCCATATATGTTCAATGACACTAAAGTATGACCTTTCTACATAGACAAGGTTGGTATCTTTTGAACTAGATATATGTAAATTGCCAACAATAAGTGTTACTCCACTATTCTACATTGTGCTTTAATCATTTTGTTTTTTGGTATAGAAAGTGTAACCATTGATCACATAACCAGTGTAATATAAAACTTGCAAACTCAGTCCTTTGGCCAACTATCTCAATTTTTCAAAAACATTAATTCTTCCTCAACTCCTTAAGGATGAGACTTTTAAACCACTTTACAAAGTGTCAATTGTGTTCTTTTGTTACAAAATTCACATTTCTAACACCAAACATGTCAATGAAAATATCTTGTGTTCTTCAACAAATGGCTTTACTTCTTTAGTATTTTATAGAACATATAGGTGAGCTTGTTCACATTTAGCTACTAAAATGCTAATAACTTTTTTTTTTTGATTACTCCTTTCCTTGATCTTCCTCCATCATTGTAAGACTTTAGAATCCCTATAGCATCAATGTTAGATAAATAATCTATACACAATTCAGCTGCTTCTTTAAATATGT